ATCATATGGGTATCTCGTAGAGGGTCTTCTTTCTCGAGTTGGATATCTCGGCTGTTCTTCAGCTTGAGGACCCGGTTCATCATTCTCATCCTGGATCTCAACATCAACTTGGACCTCAGTGTCTTGGTCATCTTCAGCTTGTTGCTGATCATCAGTTCTTTCATTCTCTTGATTTTCTCCCCCTGCTTCAGCTCGGACAGGAGGAACGGGTTCTTCACGTCTGACAGTAACTCGAACTTTGGTCTTCGAGATGTCATGAATGTTCTCATGCTCATGAAAGATCACATCTCGACTTCTCACTATCTTCTTATTGATTGGATCCCAAAGTCGGAACCCGAACTCACATCTCGGCGAACCAAGATAAATGCATTCTTTGGTCTTTGCATCAAGTTTAGCCCTTTCATCTTTAGGGATATGCACGAAAGCTCGGCATCCAAACACCTTCAATTGATTATAGGCCGCTTTCCGACTTGTCCAGACTTCTTCTGGAATTTCTCCTTCAAGTGGCCGTGATGGTGAGAGGTTGATCAAGTCAACAACTGTTTTGACGGCTTCTCCCCAGAATGATTTCGGCAATCCGGCATTGGATAACATGCTTCGGACCTTCTCTTCAATAGTTCTGTTCATCCGCTCAGCCAATCCATTCAGCTGAGGTGTCTTGGGGGGCGTCTTCTCAAGTCGAATCTCGGCCGCTCTGCAGTATGCATCAAATGGGCCACAATACTCACCACCATTATCAGATCGGACCACCTTCAATTTCTTGCCAGTCTCCCTTTCAACCATTGCATGAAATTCTTTAAAGGATTGGATTACCTGGTCTTTAGACTTCAACAAATATACCCACACTTTGCGGGAGTGGTCATCAATGAATGAAACAAAGTACTGAGCTCCTCCAAGGGATCTTTCCGACATGGAGCAAACATCAGTATGGACGAGGTCAAGAATATTCCTTTGTCTTCTTGGTTGATCCGGTCTCACAAAAGAAACCCGGTGCTGCTTTCCAGCTAGGCAATGCGTGCAACTCTCCAACGCTTGGCCTTTCAACCCGGTCAGTAATTCTTTCTTGTGCAGGATTTGTAGCCCTTTCTCGCTCATATGGTCGAGGCGCTTGTGCCATAGCTCCAAGCTAGGTTCATCTCGGACAGAATTGGCTTCTCCGCCATTGATCTTTCCTTGCATCACGTACAAGGAGCCTTCCTTCTTACCTCGGGCCACAACCAAGTTTCCCTTGGCCAGCTTCCATCTAACACCACCGAAGTAGTTCACTAACCCGGCATCATCAAGTTTGCCTACCGAGATTAGGTTCAAACGCATGTCAGGAACATGCCTTACATCTTTCAACACAAGTCGGCATCCGACATCCGTGGTCAGAGTTACATCACTGACACCAACAATCTTGCTGGTCACTTGATTTCCCATCTTCATGACTCTAAAATCACCACCTCGGCAAGAGGAGAAAAAACCTTTGTGTGGAGTAACGTGGAAGGAGGCACCGAAGTCAACAATACAGGTGCAGTCATCATATGCAACCTTCAAATAATTATCCTTACCAAGAAGGAATATCTCGGCATCCGGGTTGGCAGCCACCGCAGTGGTGCTCTTGTCTTCCCTCTTCTTGGGAATAATCTGATCCGGCTTCGTAGAGTCGTTCTTATCATCATTCTGCAGGGTCCAGCAGTCTGGCTTCTTATGACCTGTCTTTCCACAGTAAAAGCACTTCAACTCATATTTCGGCTTTGACCGACCTCTGAACTTTTCTCGTCTGTCACGACCTCTACCCCGTCTTTTGCTTCTACCCCGGGAGTCAGATTTTCCTTTGTTCTCAGCAACGTTGGCCTCAGACGTGCTCGAAACACCTCGTTCTCTTCTCCTGACTTCTTCGCTCATGAGGATTTCTGTCACGACATCCATCTTCAACTTTCCTTCTGGAGCTGAATTACTCAAAGTCACCACCAGAGTATCCCAGCTTTCTGGCAGCGAGCTCAACAGCAGCAAAGCCTGCATCTCATCATTAATTTTCATCCCAGCTTTTGACAGCTGATTCACAATACCTTTATAGGTGTTGAGGTGTTCAATCATGCTCATGTCGTCCTTGTATTCAAGCTTCACAAGTCGGCGAACCAGGTATGCCTTATTCCTGGGAGTCTTCTTCTGAATCATGGACTCCAGCTTCGTTACGCGTTCGTGAATTCGGACACGTGCTCAAACAGGCTTTTATCAATATATTTCCTGATCATGGCTACCGTCTTCCGACTCAGGATCTCCCACTCCTTATCAGTTTTGCCTGCCAGTCTCTCATCAAGGATAATGGGCTTATGTAAATCTTTGCAGTAGAGATGATCTTCCATCATCGGTCTCCAATAGTTGAAATTATCTGCGGTCAACTTGAACATGTCTCCATCATTAGTTATGCCACTGGTCTCCATCTCGTCTCCCTCAGAACCCGTCGAACTCGGGCTCTGATACCAGTGTTGGGAAAACTCGGTTCCCTCAGATCGGCTCAGGGGCCTTTGCAGAAGTCAGTCAATGAGATCCTCGATCTCAGATCTCAGCAATACCTCGGCCTGAATTTCACCAGGTCAGGCAGCGCAGCGGAAAAATCAAAACGTAAACACATGAGAGAGAGAGAGAGAGAGAAGAACACAACCAGATTTAACGTGGGAAAACCTTCTTCAATGAAGAAGTAAAAACCCACGGGACCTAGTCCAGATCAAAAATCCACTATGAAAATAATGGTTACAAATAATCAGAATACACCAATGTGGTGGTTAACTCAACTTCTCCAACAATGGTGATAATCGAACTACCCTAGAGATGTTTCACTCAAACTTTCTCTATAGATCTCTCAAATGCAAAGCATAAAGCTTTGCTCAAACAATTTTCTCTCAAATATCTGTCAAATAAAATTCTCTCATATATGACCTAGCCTCCACCCTCAACTAATGCGTATATATAGAGGAGGTGGAAATTAGGGTTAGGTTTTTAGGAAACCCCTCAAATGGGCTTGGACTTAGCATTGAAGGAGGAAACCCAACAGTTTATACGATCTTATCCGGCTCGAATTGATATAAATTGAGATATAGTAAAAATCAAAAGAATACAATACAAATTATTGGTTCTCAAAATAATTTCTCGTATACGTAGATGACTGTGTCCCTTAAGTATACTGATAAGAGTTCGATCCCTAATCGTATGTATGAAAAAATACTATGTTAGCAGAGGCAAAATTCACTTTGGTAATTTCTATGCCTCCAAAAAATTAGTCTTCAACTGTCGGCTGAGGGATACCTCGAGAAAACTCAAAAAGAGATAATTTTTTTTATTGTTAGCTGTTTAATTATTAATATATGATTAAAACTTATGTGACATTAATGAATAGAATAACATAAAAATTATCATAATATATTAGGGAAAATCAATCCTCCTGTTATAGGAAATTGAGTCCATATCCTGTAGACACTTCGAAAGTTGTGAAACTATTTTGTTTTTTATTTATGGGGAATGTTTATCTCCTTTTGTATAAGAGAACACTTCATTCCTACAGAGACAATAAAGTAGGGTTAGTAATTTAAAAAAATAAATAAAAATAAAACAAAAACATGGCACAACAATCGATCTGGGTGTGCATGACAACCATTCTATTTTCTAGCACTGTTTCTGAAAAGAAACAATTTTTTTTTATTTCTGTTCCTTGGAACAGTTTCTGAGAAAAAAAGTGTGTTTGATAACATGTTATATTTTTATTCTGAGAATGAGAATTGTGTTTGATAACGCGGTGTCGGTGGTGGCTGCAGCAATGATAATGGTAGTTGGTGACAGTTGTGGTGATGGTAGCACTGACATTGTGGTGGTGGAGGTTACGGCAGTGGCTGCGACAATGGTGGTGGGGATGGTGGTTGGTGGCATGGTGGTGGTGGTTGTGATGGCATCATGAAAATGGTGGTAGTGGTGGTGGCAGTGGCTGCGGCAATGGCTGTGGTGGTAGGTGTCAGTGGTGATGGTAGTGGCGGGGTGGTGTAATGGTGGCGATGGTGGTGGTGGTGGTGATGATGGTAGAGATGAAGAGTGATTAAGAGAGATAAGTGTTTCTCATTTTGTGCTCGGGAACAAAAAAAAAATTTCTGATTCTTTTTTCTGTTCCCCAGCACAAAAATTAATTCGGTTCATCCCGAGAACAAAAAATTAAATCGGTTTTACCAAACGAGTTTTTTATCTATTGAAAAAAAATTGATTCCGAAAAAGTTGTCATGCGCACCCTCTATGTGCATGAATGAGTTCTTATCATATGTCAAAGGAGAAAAACATTCTCCTTTATTTATTGGGTTTTATAATTATCATTTAACATGAGAATTTAAATTTTCCTACACACCCTTCGATTTTCGTGCTGACATGGGTCCTACATATAATTTTTTCTAACACATGGGTCCCACATACTTTTTATCTCTATAACATGAGAATTGAATTCTCATTTAACATGAGAAAATCAAACCCTTTATTTATTTATTTAAAATAGTGAAGCCTACCATTATTATATCAGTGACATAACAATAGATGTATCCTGCGACGTAACTGATACAAATCCCAATATATTATCTGTTATATATTATTTTGCGCGTAACAAAAGTGAGACAATATAGGAATAAAGTATATATTATTGGTCATTTTTTAAAAAAATTATTAAAAAAAAATCCTGATAGATGAAAAAAAGTATTTATTTATTTAAAATAGTGAAGCCTACCATTATTATATCAGTGACATAACAATAGATGTATCCTGCGACGTAACTGATACAAATCCCAATATATTATCTGTTATATATTATTTTGCGCGTAACAAAAGTGAGACAATATAGGAATAAAGTATATATTATTGGTCATTTTTTAAAAAAATTATTAAAAAAAAATCCTGATAGATGAAAAAAAGTAACTAATTGATACAAAATATTTTGGTAAATTCTGAAAAGCACATGTGTAATAAGTTAACACAAGCTCTAACCTTAACCTTGTTATCTTCAAAATTGTCTCTTTCTCTCACGGAGGAAGAAGATGATGATGTTGCAGCTTCAATCCTCTTTGCAGAACAATAACGTTTCTCTTTCTCTTTCATCTTCCCTATGCTATTCTCCACCATTTCCCTTCAAACTTTCCACTCTCACAACACAAAGGGTGTGTTTTGAGAGACTCTCTGTGACCTGTTCCATCTCAAAGATCCACAGTTATGGAACGTTGGACTATGAGCGCAGACCCATTCTCAAATGGAACGATTTACACAGAAGGATATCGTTGGCGCAAAACCCAGAACTTGGTTCTGCCACTGTGTTGAATCAGTGGGAGAATGAAGGAAAGCACCTCACAAAATGGGAGCTTTGCAGAGTTGTCAAAGAGTTGAGGAAGTACAAGAGATTTCAAAGAGCCCTTGAGGTAAAATTTAATTTTCTAAAGCTTATTTAGATGTTGTTTTTCTTTGATTATTTTTTTGTATTCTTTCATTAAATGATTATTGATATGGTTTTTGCTTTTTTTATTATTATTATTAATTATTATTATTTTGGGTTATCTGGGGGTGAGTGTTGGTTTGCTGTTTTGATCAATTGAATGATGCTCTGTGAATGGTGGAATATGTTTTTGTGAGATTGTTGGAGTGTTGGTTGTTTTGGTTTGTTTCAACTTTCAACTACTCTAATTTTTCTGTGTTGAGTAGCTTGATTTTCTTTGGAGTCTGATAGTTTAGGTGGAATTGTTTGATGAGGAAAATCTTAGTCCTTGAGGTTGAATACAGTTATGTTCATTTCTGGTTTTTGTGAGATGATTGGAGTGTTGGTTGTTTGGGTTTGTTAGATTATGTTAAAGTGCATAGTTGATATTCAAGTATTTTAATTTTTCTGTATTGAGTAGCTTGATTTTCTTTGGACTCTGCTAGTTAGATGGAATTGTTTGATGAAGAAAATCCTTGTCCTTGAGGTTGAATTACAGTTATGTTCATTTCTGGTTTTTCACTTTGACATGAATATGATTCTACAGATTTCTGTGTATAGGCACTATTCTTCATGTTTAGTAGTTGTTAAACAGCTTCTATAGCATTGGAATTGATATCGTCAAGACGTTTCTTTGGAGGATTTTATTATATATCATTGCCATTTGATTTAAGCTTTTCATGGGGTGTATGTTTTGAAACTTATAACAGAACAAAAGATACTTGGCTGTTTATTTTAGCATTAGATTTTGGGATTTTAGAACATGGCTTTTAGTTTTGAGTCTGTTTGAATTATTGAAATCAAATAGCAGGGAAAGGTCGCATAGTTTTTCCGCGTCTGCCAATTTAGTGCTTCAGGGTTTATGCAGTGTTTGTAGGTGGAAAAAATGGTCTCAAACTGACATGTTAATCAGAAGAAAAATTAATAAGATTTTGAGTTGTTGGAAGGCATGTAAATAGTGTGGGACAGCATTTTAATAGGTTTGTTCAATTGTTGTTAATTGAAAGTGCAAACAAAAGGCACAAAAAATGAAAGAGTATCGAGATTAGAAGAAGTAAAGCATGTTTTGGACTTTTTGAAGTTGTATCCTCTTTTATATATTCTATGTACCAGAGGTGCTGTTTGATTAGAACTGTTTGATGCAACATAACTTTACCTAAATAGAGAGCATGAGCAAGAAAAGGAAAAATCAGTGGATTGAGGTTCCCTTTTTCTCCCACAGTCCATCAAGAGGACAAAAGATTTTCCGAAGAATCTTCTGTCTTCCCATTTCTATTTTGTAACTGTATCTTACAGGATGCAAGGGAAACATCTGATACATTTGCTGCAGATTTAGCAGCTTTACCCCTCTCTATGTCCAAACTTTCTCCTTCTGTCTTTCCTTTCAAAGTGCTTATAGTTGTAATGGAATAATTTTTGCTAAAACCATATGTATATGGTGTGGAGGGCCTTGTATGCATCATCTTTTGACTATCATTCACTCTGAAGAAACAAAGATTGCTTCGTCCCATTTGGCAGGGTCTTAAAAGTATAGCATGTTGCAAAGTTGTTATAAAATCATTTATAATTGGAGTCTGGTTCAAAGATAATCCAAGGAAAGAAGTACATTTGAACTATATGAGATTACTGTGAAACCTGATTGATTCAATAAAAGCTCTATTAGAAATATTCTTTCTTTACTATTTTTATAATGCACTTGATTTTATTGGGTAAATATACATATACTATTACATAATCTGTAACACAAGTCTTATATTATCCTATTGCAAATCCTGTGTTAATTGTAAATTCTAGATTTGCAAACACTGTTAATACATTTTGCATAATCTGGGAGCATGTGTTTTCTCCACTACTCTATTAAATGACATGCTGGTTACATATACTTCTTTGCCTCAAATGTCTTAATATCAGCCATGAACAATTTTATGTAAGTAACGTGCAAATGTTGCAGGTATATGATTGGATGATCAATAGACCAGAGAGGTTTAGAATATCTGCGAGTGACGCAGCGATTCAGTTAGATTTAACTGCCAAAGTTCATGGAGTTTCTAGTGCAGAAGAATTTTTTCTTAGACTGAATGATAAGTTAAAAGAGAAGAGGACATATGGTGCCCTTTTGAATGTATACGTGCATTCTAGATTGAAGGAAAAAGCAGAATCTCTACTTGAGACAATGAGGAGTAAAGGGTATGTAATACATTCACTACCATTTAATTTGATGATGACTCTTTACATGAACCATAAGGAATATGATAAAGTTGATATGCTGGTTTCAGAAATGATAGAAAAAAACGTACAGCTAGATATCTATTCATATAATATCTGGTTATCTTCTTGTGGATCTCAAGGATCAACAGAAAAGATGGAACAAGTGTTTGAACAGATGGCGAAGGATCCTAACATTGTCCCTAACTGGACTACATTCAGCACAATGGCTACAATGTACATTAAGATGAATCTGTTTGAAAAAGCAGAAGGGTGCTTAAGGAAGGTTGAGAGTAGAATTAAAGGTCGAGATAGAATACCTTTTCACTATCTCCTGAGTTTATATGGAAGTGTTGGAAATAAAGACGAAGTTTATCGTGTGTGGAAAACTTATAAATCAATTTTTCCCAGCATACCAAACTTGGGATACCATGCTATTATTTCATCTCTGGTTAGAAATGATGATATTGAGGGTGCAGAAAAGCTTTATGAGGAATGGCTTTCAGTAAAGTCATCTTATGATCCTAGAATAGGAAACCTTTTCGTAGGCTGGTATGTGAAGAAAGGCAATACAGACAAAGCTTTGGATTTCTTCAAGCAGATGACTGAAAATGGTGGAATTCCAAATTCAAGTACATGGGAGTTTCTTTCTGAGGGCCATATTGGAGATGAGAGTATTTCTGAGGCTCTCTCCTGCTTGAAAGAAGCTTTTATAGCTGATGGTTCAAAGAGTAGTTGGAGACCAAAGCCCTTAAACTTGTCTGCATTCTTTAAGCTTTGTCAAGACCAAGATGACATGGCAAGTGCTGAGGTTTTAACTGGGTTGTTGAAGCAGTCAAAATTTCTTAAATATAAAGTTTATGCATCACTCATTGGCTTATCTGAGGATACCATTGGTGAAGGTGAATTGTCAAGCAAGATTGATACAACAGATAGAACTGATGATATCATCAATAGTGAAAAAGTGGATGATGACTCTCAGATGTTGTTCAACCAAGTGGAGAGTAGTTTTTGATACTTTATTTCTTTTTCTTTTCACTAGGGGAAATTGCGTTGCTAGGAACATGAGGAAATTTGTGTGTCAAAGATGATCTTATTCAAGTTTCATGGCTTCCTATGCCTTATCATGACAGTTATGAAGTGCTAGCTGTTGTTTTCAACTGCAAAATTTTGGAATTTTTATACTAGTTTTGAACAATGACGTGTGATGTTTTGCTTCTAATTGGAATTGCCACTGCATATATTGATCTGAGATCTCCTTGTGTAAGATGTAGAATTTATATTAGGAATAGAAAATATAGATGTAGCGCTGCAAAAGGTTTAACATACTCAGTTTAACAGCCAGCAATTAAAATATTTGCTTCTGAGCATATGTTGCAGGGGTTACAAGAAGGCAACAACAGTCAAAATTCTACTTAAAAGTCATTAATGATAAATACTTAGTGTATGATAATACATATTTGGATACTTTATTAAAGAATTAACCAACATGAGATATTATAATACTAGAATTCTTAATACAAAAACAAAGGAAACAAGACTACGAATAAGAGCTAATGCTAAAACAAATCACATCTTAAATATTTAATCAAGAACAAAGTCAAATAGAAAATTACATGCAATAACATAAAAACCGCTAAGCACTAGTATATGCAAAAAGTAAAAATAAAATAAATTTCCATTTAAAAAAAATCAAGTACAATAAGGGCCTGTTTCATACAGTTTTTTTTTAAGCTAAAGTTAAAAAAAAAAAAAAAAAAAAAAGCTAAAAATTATTTGGTAATTATATAAAATTATTTTGATGGTTTTGAAAGAGGAAACATAAAATAAGTTGTAATTATGATGGATTATTAGGGTATATGATAAAATTTATAAATATAAGTTTAGAATAAGGGTAAAACTATAAAATAAATATAAGAACTCCAAAAAACTGACATACTTTTTTTAATAAAAAAACCTCCACATGAAAGTTTTTAGCTTTTTTCTTTATTATAAAAAAAGCTCTTTTATAATATTTTTTTTTTTATAAAATTATGTTTGGTTAAGCTTCTAATTTTAAAGAAAATAGAAACTGAGTAATGAAAGCATCCTATAATAAAATTAATATTCCATTCTTATCCTCTAATCAACAATTTAAATGATTTCAATATACCTACTATTCAAAATTAGAATAGAAGTAATGGTGGAATGAGGGAGAAGTTAGGGGGCGATCCCCCTTTACAAATTCATTCAAATTTTTAATTTGAATAATATTTTTTATTTAAGTCATATAATTAGTAATTGCCCCTTCTAAACTTATAGAATCATTTAATTCTAAGCCTCATCTTTATTGTTGTTAATCATATCAATCGTAGTAACTTTTAAAAAAATACATCCCCTTTTAAAAAAATTTGTAGGCTCTCGCATGAATAGAAGAAAAATGAGGCTTAGAATTTAGAACCGCTTAGAGTGAAATTGGAACTTCAATTTTAACAATTTACGTGGAGTATAGACTAACAGCATACTCATTTCCTATAAAAAAAAAAAAAAAAAATCCTGCCCAGTACATAGTTGTAAAATATTGTTAACTAGAACTCTTCACAATACACTTTTCAGTGTCCAACCATCACACAAGCCTACTTTCTACACGACACAAGCCCGTAATGCTAATTAACCTCATGTTATTGATCTGAATACTTCTTGTACTTCTTTGCCCCTAACCAATTTCAATTTGTCTCATATTATTTGAAATGAAAGTTTACAAGTTGAAGAGCGCCTTGTGCATAAGGATAACTTTTTGAGTAGGTTGAACTTATTGAGCTTCTCATCTCGAATTGAGTAACGGTCCACACATATTTTCATGTTCTCTAAATGTCTTGCCTTCCGCATAACATATCTTGCAAATTGTAGTTCACTTTTGGAGCCTCCGTATCTATTAAAACTGCATTCCTTAAGGCATAATGACATGCATTTAGGAACAGAGCCTTGGTATCGCCAATCTATTTCTTTGTAATTAACATCCTATTAACAATATTGGGAGGATCGAACACATGCTCTCACCCCCACCTGCTCAGCTCCCAAAATGTACATAATACGTACTAATCATAGTACATAATATAATTTGTAAGAGTTTAAAACAAAAAATTTATAAATATAACCTACCCTGATATAAATATGAGAAAAACTCATTTTTCATATTTCAAATAATCTAAAATGATGTCATTTTAAGAATTTGATAAAAAAAATAAAGGAAATTTTAGTAAAATACCATTTTTTCCCAAACACGCAAGACGACTTATCTCATTAGCATTAATAAAAAAAAAATAATAAGAAGAGGGATCTTTTGAAATGTGTCTTATCCTTGTGATATAACTTTGCTAATAAGTAATTTAATGATTAAGCCCATTTGATTGAACGAGTTGTATTCATTTCTTCTTGTGTACAATTTCTTTTATTGTGAAAAACAAACATAGTAGTTTTGACTGGATAAACTTCAAGCCATGAAGGCAAGATGTGGAATTTATATTAGGAATATAGGTGATAAACAAATCAGACCGTTTGGCTCGGCTCGTGAAGGCATGAGTTTATAGGTCTAAAATTGATTGTTGGCACCAGACTTGAACTTATATAAAAACTCATTTAATAAAAAGGCCTCAGGCTCCAATTTAAAAACTTGGCCTTAAAGCCTCTCAAGCTGGCCTAGTGTATTTTTTTATATATTTTTTATACCACTTGTAATAGCTCTCTCTTTCTCCTTAATCCATTTCATTCCATTTTATTGGTTAAACAAACTTTTTGAAAGATTTTGTTATATATTATATTATTTGGATATACATTGAATTTATGAATATTTATGGAATTACTAGAGTTGTTGATTGTATATTCTGTTTGGATAAATTTTTGTTGTCTTATTTTTTTTAAACAGGCTAAACAGGTCTTAATTTTTTGTAAATAAGTCAGGTCAGAGGCCGATAATTATATTTATAACAGGTTTGATCAAGCTAACACATTTAAACACAGGCTTAGCCTTTTAAGATCAAAGCCCGACTCGACTCGGTCCGTTAACACCCCTAATTAAGAATAACAAATACAGACGCACTACAAAAAAAGCTGTATTTAGCCACATTAACAAATGTGGCTAAACTAAACAAAAAACGTGGCTAACTAAAAAAACCACACTTTGCATGAATGTGGCTAATATTGGCGTTGCAATATTTCTGCCACACTTGTTGGTTAGTTTTGCCATATTCTGTTTGAGTGTGGTAGCAGTGATTTAGCTACGATTATAACTAACTTTGGCACGGTTAAACCGTGGCTAAATTATTTTTTTATTTTTAAAAAATGACCATAATATAGCACGATAACAAATTGATGCTCAATTATTGGATCGGGTATCATCAAAAGAAGGATACACAATTGCATTTGATGACAACCAAACGGTGCAAACTATTAACAATAGTCTATTAAATAATAACTCTATTCTTAGATGTAAATGAAGATTACTTTAAAAATTTAAGCACAATTTTTTGTCCCATGAATCAAGATGCACCCACAAATAGTTTACTAGTTCAAGTATTGAACTCTATTTCAAACTTGAAAGTGCTACACCAAAAGAAAAAGAAGATGAATATTCATTAGTTATATTGGAAGAGAACTATAACATCACCAAGTTGATATGATTAAACTTGACAGCAACATCCTGCAATTTAAAAAATAAATGAATTCAACAAAACAAAATTCAATCAAACAAATCAGTAACTGTGTTAAGTACTAAACGGTTATGCAAAATTAGCTAACTGACTTAGTAAGAATCATTGCTTTCACAGTTCCTTGCACTTATAGTACATAATACATTATTTACCAGAAAACTACTACGAAAAGAAAATTCAAATAAGATCATGTAAAGAGGACATCGAATGTTTCAGAAACTAAAGATTAAAAAAATCAAACGCAAGCATGTCTCACATATTGTCACTGAAGTCTTCCAACAGATTCAAATAATCGGGGCCATCTTGCGAGATAGGTCATGTAGAAAAACATGTTAAACTGAAGCAAACAAGGACAAGCAATTAAAGTGAAGGCACCATCAGCATCAATTGAGTTCACAAACCCCAATTAAAGTGTTGAATGGAAAACTCAGAGTTTCGGACCATAAAGAATTGCTTGAACAGATGCATATTCAGGCCTGTCATCTTAATTTTATTAAAAGAACACAATATCAATAATGTAAACAAATTCTTCCTTTAGAAATATAAATCTTACCCAAGACATACAATCATAAATTGCCAACACTAAATATGTGCTTCCACCAGGGCAATTTATATACACCTGCCAATAGAAGCAGCTCAATATAAATCCCACTTCATGACTTGACGAAAGTAAAATAACAATGTCAAGACACAACAAACTAGTATATCTGCATCAGTAGCTAGAGTCACAAGCTGCGATATAACTCTCTGAGCCACATGCCATAGTCTATCAGCTGAATGCTACGGTAGTGTTTCACGATGCACTGCTTTATAACCTAATTCACCTCTATACAGATACACTTACTTGTCCAATAAAGAATTACAGACAAGTCAGGCCTTTAACAATACAAAATGGACAAAAACACATATTCAACGGCATGCTAACAAACAACCATATAATACATGAACCACTTGAAAGAGGAAGGGAACAGAATTGTACCTTGTACTAGCATTATAGGTATTTTTCTCATCAAGCTTCAAAGGAAAGCGAGGGCTTTTACTAGAAAACCCTGCGTTATACAAAATATACACATCAATATCATATCATAACATTCTTTAGCGCAAAGTAGTCCGTATCCATAACTCATTGCCTTATATAATAATAAGCAAACAAAAAACTAATTATTTGTTAAAAGGATTTAATTTTGATCTACTAGTGGTGTAAAGAGTTTTAAATTATCAATGAACCACATGGTGCCTATTATTTAAGAACCTGTGTTGCAAGTGAGAAACCTTTTGTGGTACTAATTTATGGTCAAAATTAAACTCTTGGTTAAATATCTGAAATTACGCAAGACTGTTACTTATCTCAGTATCTATTTGCAAGGTTAAACCTCAATTGAAGCTTCAGTAATTCAAATAAGGACAAATGATAGGGAAAGAGTGTTGCTCGGCACAAACAACAAGGCAAAAATAAGGAGGAAAGTAGGAATACCATATCCATATTATATACAAGTAGGAATATCATATTCCATGGGAAGAACTTCAACCTACAAATGCAATGAAATTTAA